ACAGCACAGCTTCTGATGGTAAAGAGCAGCACAGTCATAGCTGGGAATGTGCTTTTAGGAGCCAAGTGGTGCTTCAGTTCCAAGCATCTGTGTTTGCTGTAGAGCTCCCTCGTGGTGTCCACAGACAATGTCACGGCAGCCGAAGCACCAGAGAAGGGTCTGACAGCTCTGTTAAGGTGTGTCACCCCAGACCCTCACAGCTTGGCTTAAAGGAAAAATAAACACTACCAGGGTTTAAGAAAATGGCTTATTATTTATTAGTAGAGTTAGCTGCTTGCTTAGTGCTCCAGGGAGAAATGGGCTTCTCTAATCTGCCTCATGTGTATGATTTAAACGTTTGTATTTAATGACATGAAGGTAAATTTATTTCATGTTGTTAAATAAAACACAACATGTCATGGGATTGACTTCAACATAATTCAGATAGGAGACGTTTGAAACCCTACTTGTTGGAGAAAGGACAAGAGTTGTCTTGAATTTTAGGAAGTTACTTCTGAAAAAAATGTTCTTCTTTTAAAGAATGAAGTATTTCATTACTTCCACCCCATCCATATTGGACCAGTTTTCTTGAAAATTGTCTGAACTTTGTAACTTTTGAAATCATAAAAACATTTCCCTAAAACTCCAATACAAAATTTAACTTTGTAAGAAAATTTTATGCTAAAAACAATTCCAAAGGGAATAGTATAGCACTGAAATAAAAAACCCACTAACATCCCTCCTCTCACTGGAAACTCTGAAATGCCTGGACAACACGGACATTCCCAGATACGTAAGCTGGTGCCGCACAGAAGGGCACCTCCTGGGCCTGGAGCCAGCGCCCCGCTCATTCAGCACGACGTTTCAAGGCAGTGGAGATCATCCGTGAGCCAACCCCTGACAGCCTGTGGTTCCCGGGTGCACCCATCAGCAGGAGCCTCCGTCCACAGGGGTGAGCTGCAAGGTCCACGCTTCCCACCCAGCGGAGCGCATCAAGCTGGAGAGCAGCCAGCCATGTTCGTGGGCTGGCAGGCCCCTTGTCCCTCACTCCCTCTCCAGCGGCCTCTGCATGGACTGCAGAAAGCTGCAGCTGGAATGCCTTCCTCCATATTTACATAACACATGTTCCCTAAACCACGCAGTGTTATGTTAAAAAAAATGGCTTTAACCGCTGACAGAAACTGCATGGTCGCGTTCCTGCCTTAGCTAAAATTACTGTTTACTCCAAAGTTATTCTCCCTCTATAGTGTGAATTCAGGTACTCGGTAAGAGCAGAGTCCTTGTGTAAAGGGAGTGCATCCACCTGGCTTTCCCTAACAGCCTGGGAAGAGAAAGTGGCTCTGCCTAGGCCCTGGGCTGTGAGCAACAGCCCAATGCCGCTGCTCCCGCAGCAAAGGTGTGAGGTAGCCTCATATCTTGGTTGGATACCATTCTTCAGGTCAGTCCTTCACAATGATTAAGCAACCTCAGGACTACTTTGAGCCTTTTTAAAAAAGCTATTAGAATTGGAAAAAAATCACTTTGTCCTTACACCAGCCATGTAATGCATTGACATAATCTGATGTCAACAGAGGGAGTGGCCATCTAGGCAGACAGCAATGAACACGAGTGGGCAGCTTAAAAGACCACTGGAAGAGGGAAGGACGGAGATGGCTGCTGCCAGTGAGGCTGCTGAGCTACGTCCATCAGTGAGGGCCGGAAGAGTAGGGCTTGCAGTACTGTGCAGGTCCAAGGAAGGGCAGAGAGCAAGTCTGACCAGGACCACGGAGAAGGTGAGTGGCACAGTGGGCCTGTAAGGAAGGGACCGTGTGGCCCTGTTCTTGCTCCTTTTTTTTGGGGGGGGGGGCCTGGTCATGGGGCCTAAACTCTGGGCCTGGGCGCTGTCCCTCAGCTCTTCAGCTCAAGGCTAGCGCTCTACCGCTTGAGTCACAGCGCCACTTCCAGATTTTTCTACTTATGTGGTGCTGAGGAATCGAACCCAAGGCCTCATGCATGCAAGGCAAGCGCTCCACCACTGAGCCACCTTCCCAGCCAGAGCCTCAGGCATGCAAGGCAAGCGCTCCACCACTGAGCCACCTTCCCAGCCCCTCTTGCTCCTCCTTCCTGTTCCCAGAAAGACAGGTCCAGTTCATTTCATTGTTGATCCTCTCAAGAGTCCACCGTCTCTCAAAAAGGCCTGGATCCAAGTGAAAAAGTAAGAATGGCTGGGAGGCTGTCTGTGGCTCATGCCTTTGTAATCCTTGCTACTCAGGCTGAAAACTGGACTGCAGTTCAAAGTCTGTGGCATGAAATCTCCAGTTAACTGGCCAAAATGCTCGACTGGATGTACAGCTTAAAAGCCCTGAACTCAAGCATCAGCACACACGCATACACAGAGCTAATAATTGTGTAAAAATACAGTACAGATTGTTTTCATGTTTTTCCTGAGGCTGAAGGAAACAACTTGCTTTCACACGAGGTGTGCGAATGCAGAGGCAGACGTGGGCCCAGTGCATCCAGCCACCCATCTGATGGCCAAGCTGCAGGCGCAAGTGGTCCCTAAGCCACAGCTCAGGAAGCTGCTTGAACAGGCAAAAGACACATGGGGACAACCTGGGGTGGAACTGTTTATTTATGAAAATGTAAATATATTCTCTGCATCTTAGAATGAGGTTAACAAAGTCAGGAAAGTGCCTAGCGTGGAGTGATAAGTTGCTGAAAGCAGAAGTCAGTAATCACACAAACTGATGAAAAGACAGAAGCAGGTTTTCCATTTTTGAGTCCTGGTCTCTCCTGAAGCCGTCTGCATTCCCGTGAGGACACAGAACACGGTGCTGGATGCAGCCACAGCAGCTCAGGTTCACGCCACTCATTCAGCCACACCCAATAAACGCACTTTGCTGTCCTTTCAGGACATTTTCCCTGAAAGCAAAAGTATTTACACTACAAACCAGTTATTTTAACCAAAACACAAGGGTTACTTTTTCATTAACACCGGTAGATGAAGAAATTCCGATTTGCCATGCACATTCCAGCAGCAATCTGGCTCTATCTTCTGCGTTCCTTGGAGGGGGAGTGGGGACAAGGGAAAGGCTGGTTCTGGGCTTGAATTCAGAGCCTGGGCAGTCCTTTAGCTTCCCCCCCCCAAAAAAAAAAGTCTAGTACTCGGGGCTGGGAAGGTGGCTCAGTGGTAGAGCGCTTGCCTTGTACGCATAAGGCCCTGGGTTCGATTCCTTAGTACCACATAAGCAAAAAGAAAAAAGCCAGAAGTGGCGCTGTGGCTCAAGTGGTAGAGTGCTAGCCTTGAGCTGAAGAGCTGAGGGACAGCGCCCAGGCCCAGAGTCCAGGCCCCATGACTGACAAAAGAAAAAAGAAAAAGAAAAAACCAGAGGTGGTGCTATGGCTTACGTGGTAGAGTACTAGCCTTGAGCTCAAAAGGGACAGTGCCCAGAACTGAGTTCAAGACCCATGACCGGCAAAAAAAAGAAAAGAAAGAAAAAACAAGTCTCACAGACTTTCCTACCTGGGCTGGCTTCAAATCACAATCCTTTAGATCCAGCCTTCTGAGTAGCTAGGATTACAGGCGTGAGCCACCAGCGCCCAGCTAGCAGTCTACTTCGCGTGAGGACCTCTGCCCGAGCACACGACAGGGGCAGCTCCGTTGTCAGCACAGCATGCTGTAGGCACTTAGCAGTCAGTACAGGCACAGTAAGGGGCCACTGGCTCCCAGCGCTCATCCACACATGTGCGTGTGACACTGCCTCCCAGTCTTAGAACCTTAGTAGTAATGGCTGGGAGACATCTCATACATCGTTGCCTCTTCTAGAGAGACTGGGGGTTACAGCCATGCACCCAATGCTTGCCTGAGGATATGCATGATTCCCTAACTCAGTCACTGTACTACAAATCATAAACCTCCTTCTGTGTTATCAAACAAAAGGAAATCTACACAATTTCACAACTTCGTGATTCTAAAAAATTTTTATTTGAACACCATTTAAAGCATGTCCCCCTCTGAAGACTCAGTAAATGAACTCCTCTATTTTAAAAAGACAGTGGATGCATTGAAGGTCAGGTAGGACAGAGGGAGAGGTGGATGGGTGGATGGATAAACATCTATAGCCGTAGGTAGCGACAGATGACCGTTCTATTGAAGATGCGCCTTAACCCACTACATTGCATGTTGTACACCCAGTGGAACCACAGACAGGGTCGAAGGACACAGTGGACACACTGGAGGAACCAAGGGCAGGAGAGCGTTGCTTCTAGTTCCCCTGGGAGAGGAAATGCACAGCGTAATCGGAGGCTTTTGTCTTTAAACAAAACAAAACCAATAAACCTCTTCCGTCAAGCCACTCTTACCTAAGTAATATTTGCACCAACTGCTGCTAAGCAGCACCCTGCATTGGGCCTGACACATGGCATCACAGAGCCAAGGATGTTTCTAGAGAAACAGGCAGAGCAAGAGACAGTAGAGGCCATGATCCCTGCCTGTGGGAGAGAAAGGACTTCCTACTGACCCACGGAATGTCAGTCACAAAATGGTACTTCACTCAGCAAACTAAACCTAGGAACAAGAGGCACTTCAGTACGTTACATGTTTTAACTCCATGATGAGTAAGCTAGTGGTTTCTAAGAATTTTTTAAATTATCTAGTAACGGTCACCCACACTTGATAGCATTTCTTTATAACATCTAAACTGAAATAAGACAGCAGATTTTTTGGAGACAAAACAGGTCAGTGTTTAAAAGTTCAAGAGAAGAAGAACTAATCCCCCAGAACCTTCTTCTACAGGGCGCTCAGGAGGCAGCACCAGGCCTGCCATCCTACTGCACGCAGCCTGGGCTGCCCAGCGCATAATCTGTTCACATGTTCTTTAATAGGAAAAGCTTAACTTCTGGGTTACACAGAGTCATGTGGCTTTGGAAGATGCACCTGGTGCTCTGCCACATTTTCAAGTCGAGCAGCATCTGTCACATTCAAGGGGAAGGCGACAGGTCATGAAAGACAGTGATCGAAGCCAGCTTCACTCTGTGGAGACATCAGGTCATTTCGCTATCACTGGACAGCATGAAAGATGCTCATGTCCAGGTTCAGTAGATATGGACATGTCCAAGGTAAGGCAAACAAACGCCACCAGGAGCCACCATGCATGTGGTTTCCAGCGTGACTCTCAGGCACTCTACGGACTTCTAGAATGAGGGAGGGTTGGGTGACTTAATGGTGTGCTAGCAGAGGGTCGTTAGGCCCAGCAAACCCTAAACTAAAGGCTAGACAAGCATAACAGGGCTCCTCTGCTCACTCCACCTCCTCCACCGCGTCTGTCAGCTGGCCCTTGCTGTGTCGCCGAATGCTGACCAACTTCCCTGCTGACCGGAGACTCCAGCGGGAGCTGCTGGCTGAACTGGACAGGCTGGTGTACTTGGTAGAGCCCTTGCTGTCACCGTCCCAGCCAGGCCAGGGTGAGTGGCTACTCCCCAAGTCAGGGTGAGCAGCGTCCACATGGGCCACCACATCTTCAGAACTGAGTTGGGGGGGTTCCCAGCCTTCCATCTCATCTGGTTTTCGAGACTGGTTGTTCTGTTTTAAAACCAAACTGTCCCAAAATCCAGATTTCTTCTCTGCCTTCAACTCTTCTTTAAGTCGTAAGTTAGTTCTGTAGGAAGTGAAAGAGTTTACTGCTGGTCACACTGTGATCTAAGGCTCTTTCCTAAAAATTTAATTGCTTAACATGAAAACAAGCCTATGTGTAAACATTACAATTATTATGGAAATAAGGAACAATTAGCTGCTTCACAACTCCATTCACCAGGAGCAAAGGCCAGCTCTCAGGAGCTGGCTGCCTGAGGCCACAGGAGGGGTAGTGCATGGTTTTGCTTTCCTATGCAGTTCTGTCATTGTGTCAAGAATTTCAGCACCCAGTAATGTGAGGAAATTGGCCACGTTTGTGACGTTCAGGAGACTGCAAATTTAATCCGTTTGCTTAGATACATCTGTGAATACAAATTATTACAGAGTTAAGAAAGGAGGGAGAGAAAGTGGGAGAAAAATGAGGGAAGAAGTAACAATGTTCAACAAGAACTGTACTCATTACCTTACTTAGGCAACTGTAACCCCTCTGTACATCATCTGCAGAATAAAACAAAATTTTTAAAAACCTGGGTCTAGACTGGAAAACAAGTGGGAGGACATTCACCAAGTGGGTTTTCTATAGGGTTGCTTCTGTGTTAGGCTTCTCTCAAGCATTTAGTAGATAATTTGCTCTACAAAGGTAAGACTCAAGAAGGAAATGAACAAAAAGCATGCACGGGCCAGTGGCCTACACTAACTTCCCACAAGTGTCACTTGGGGCCTGTTTGGGACACTGGGCTCTGGCTGGGTTCTGCGGGCCACCCAGTGGCTGCACGACCACTTACACTGTCCTCCCAGACCAAGGGCAAAGTGAAGCCACAGGTCCCCACAGTACAACACAAAGGGACCCCGGACCTGCCTGAGAGTAACAGAGCGGCCATGGCCATGTCTTCTGCCAGAAGACAATAACCTGTCATCACCAAGCAGCGCTAAGAGTGTGTTGTGACTTTTTAAAATACTTATAATAAGATGGCAGTAATATGTCAGTTTGGAGCTATTTGATTTTAAAATCTTTTACCATTTTCCACTCAATCCTTAGCAATTTTGTTCTTTTTTTCCTTGATCTTTGGGATGACGTAGGAAGCGATGCTGTGCTCAGTGTGCCCAGCCTTAAGCAGCATGTTGGCAGGGATTCTGTGCTACACATCTCTTAAAGTTTTTGAGCATGATAGACTGCTTTAAGGCCAGTAAATTCAATTTACAATCCCAAGTTCTTTTTTACTTTTCAGTAGCATTTCAAAATGCATGTCACTTGCGTGGCCTTTCACCAAAAGTGTGTTTCATTGTCTCTTGTCTCCAGAGCATCTGGAGTACATACTCGTTTCTAGGCACCCACAGGGGAAGGAGACTGGGGCGGGCACCTCTCACGGCCAGTGGGGTCTGGAGCAGCAGGGCTGCTCGGGCCACACCCTTTCAACACCTCCACCACAGCTACCTCGGCCACCTCCCGGTGACTTCCTCCCTTCTGGAGACAGATTGCTGATGACTTACACTTTGGACTTGGGAGATTTGCATCTCTCGAGCAGATGTTCTTTGTCGTCTTTACTAAACAGAGAAGTTCCTTCCTTCCAGCCTCGGAAACCTGCGCCCTGAACCTGATGAAAGGTTAAAAGAAATGTCAAACTGGCATAGTGAATCTACAGATGCACTTCCAGCTCCCGTTAATGATGAGGATCGTAATTTCACGTGTCTGTGACTGAGGACACCCTAGAGCACAGGCAGGCACCTGGATGGTGGCGTATGTGACCCGTCCAGGCTGCATGCTGCCTGGGCATGAGGGAGGGCCACCCTGTGGCCAAGCACAGCACAGCATGTTCAGGAGCCAGTGTTACAGTTACGATCACCACTATTCCTGGGTGCTGACCTTGGATGGTGAAGACAGTGCCGTGGACCTGGCCACACCAGCCCACCAGACACGTGGTCACACGCAGTGCTGAGAGGCCAGCAGCTGAGGGACTGACCAGGATGTCCTGGCAGGGCACAGCACTGCATGGCACTATTCACGCCCACCTCGAACCTCCTCACACCCGCACACACCACCATCCTAACCACCCGTGCCTGCCCCGAGGAGCCACGGCGTCCTGTGAGACACTTGTCACTCATCATGCTGACAAGTTGCAAACAACAAGGCTTCTGATCTGATGAAGCTTCTGACACAAGTAGAAGTCGATCTCTGACACGTGGGATCCCAACCCTAGAGAAGGAGGCCATGTCAGGGAGATGGCTTCTACCATCCAGAAGGGCATTCTCAGCCCCAGGGACTGCTCACTTCCTTCAGACTCAGCACTGCAGAGACTAAACTTGCCCCTGGCCTCCACAGAAACCAAATGTTGAGAAGAATGTGGATGCTGACCAAATGATTTAATTGGTGTTTCACGTAAGACCCCACAATATTCTACAATTAATGGCACATGGGATCTGTTAAATACCATAACAGGAAGAAAAGATCAATGAAGTAGCTCTGTGACAGCCACCATTCAGCCCTGCTGGGCTGGTTTGGAGTGGGGAACTATCATGGACAGCTATGTTAAAAGTATGTTGCAACGGAACAAAAGAAATATAGAAGAAACCAGTTCTGAACATTCAATATCAAGACAGCAATGACACAGGATCCAATGTGAAGCCCAGTGTGTGGAGACAGGTGTAGAAAGAGAGCGTGAGCGAGGACCACAGTGCCCACCCTTCCCTCCTCAGGCAAGAGCCCTGTCCACACATCTGGACAGAGGTATGTCCTCTGAGAGGCCAGCTTCTCAAGCCTGCTGGGGTCAAGATCACAGACACTACACCCACACCAAAGACACCCCAGTGCCAGAAAGCACAGGCCTTACGGCCCGCTGGCCACACTAGGTGCTGCGTGGCCCTGAGTCCAGTGCCAGTCTAACATTTCAGGTCTCTACATGGACCTAGCTGGTGACACAGGTTAGGAGAAGTCTGTGAAAGGCTGGTGCAGACACCACACTTTTAGGGAAGCTTTTTCTGAAGTCCCCGGTGTTCTCTGGTCTGGGGCATGTGATGGGGACCAGCATCTCAGCCGGTCATACTGCACCAGCACAGCTGCTCAAGACCAAAGGTCTACTCCCACTTTTGCCTTCTCCATCTACTCATAGCCAGCCCTTGACCGTGAGGAAATCCTTACTGGGAATTTACCCGCATCTCATACAGACTCCCACAAGGTCTGGGAGACTTTGTTCCCAGAATAGCCATGCCCTCCTTCATTTGGCAAATGCTCCTCCCACCAAGGGGTTTGCATATCTTGTGTGACATCAAATCTGCTTAGCTAGAAGCGTTTCACAGGGTTCATTAAATTTACATTCTGTTAGCTTTAGCTGACAGGAGGAGCAGAACAGACTTCAGGCAATGTGGCCTGATGAACGCCCACAACTGACAGGGGAGCCATGCCTGCCCTGGGCACCGTCCAGACAGCACGAGGGGCCCAGGACCCGCCGGGGAGCCATGCCTGCCCTGGGCACCGACCAGAGAGCATTAGGGGTGGAACCCTAACCACCCAGAGTGCTTCTGAGGGACAGCTGATTCTGAGTCCCAAGATGAGTAAGAGCTCTCAACTCCTTGAGTATGTCTACTGAAAACCCGTCATGAACTGAATCATTGCTGACACTCAACAAACCAGGATGAATTCAGCCACAGATCCTTATGCAGACTAACTCTACCCAACACAAAAGCAGTGGAGCACCTCCAACAGCCCTTTCAGTCCCAGTTTCTGACCCTCTGCAGACACCCGTGCGCCACTGCTTGAACTAAGAACACACCATCTGAACACATCGTGTCTCTGTGAGGCGCAGCAGCTTTGCTTCCCCCCTTCTCACAGCACAGCTGAGACATGCCACACCTTGTGTTCAGCTGGTGAAGCATCTCAGAGCTCTGACAAGCCCCACGCCACTCCACGGCCTATACAGACACTTCCATTTACAGGACTGTGCACCCTTTGCCCAGTGGGCATCCTGTGCCCCCAGCTCGAAGCAGTGCCCAGCTTGTCTTAATCTTCCCACAGCCTAGCCCCCAGCTCAGGGTTCAGAGGGTTCCCCCAACTTACACTGTGTCCTACAGGTATAGGAATCTCCCTTATGATAGCTCAACCCCGGATATCCCTACAGCTCTGCCAGAGTTGTGAGGATCCAAGACCCCACTTGGCAGGCAGGTCCTGGGTCTGTCTTGATGCTCACTGGGAAACAAGAAGGTGAAAGGCATTCAAAGGTTGTATCCTCAGTGCAAGCTGACAGTGCAGTGAAGCCTGGTGAGCAGCAATGCATGACTATAGACAAATGCTTCATGCCAGACGCCTCTCCTTCATGTCTCCACAGTGTCTACAGAAGGTAAGTAAGAAACTTCATGGTGGAGAAGCACTGCCTGCCCGGCAGATATGGCTAAGCAGGAAGCTGATCCTAACGGTCCAGACATGTGCCCAATGCAGGCCTTGGTGGGTCGCACCAGGACCCACCAACATGGCTCTTCTTCTGGGATCCTCTCTGTAGCTGTACTTTGGGATGGTACAAAAAACTCAAATCCTATCCTGGGAGCATGGAAAAAAAATCAAGACTAGAAAGGGGTGCCAAACAAATATAGTAATGGTGTGAGTGCCAAGGAGATAGCCCACAGCAGTGAGAAAGTAAGTTTAGCACAGAAGGTGTAAACCTTTGTCTTTCCCAGTAACTCTTCACTTGCAAAAAGGGCTCTGTGCTCCACGTAGAATGAAAACTGGGTGCCAGTGGCTTACACCTATAATCCTAGCTATTCAGGAGCCTGGGATCTGTGGACTGAGCTTCAAAACCAGCCCAGGCAGAAAGGTCCAGAAGACCCCTATCTCCAATTAACCAGCAAAAAGCTGGAAGTGGTATAGCTCATGTGGCTGAATGCCAACCTTGAGCTAAGAAGCCAAGTGAGGGCTGGGAAGGTGGCTCAGAGGTAGAGCGCTTGCCTTGCATGCCAGAGGCCCTGGGTTCGATTCCTCAGCACCACATAAGCAAAAAGAAAAAAGCCATTCAAAGTGGTGCTGTGGCTCAAGTGGCAGAGCGCTAGCCTTGAGCTGAAGAGCTGAGGGACAGCACCCAGGCCCAGAGTTCAGGCCCCACGACCGGACACCCCAAAAAAATAAATAAATAAAAAAGAAGCCAAGCGAGAGGAAAAGAGCCCAGAACTGCAACAAAATAAGGGAAGGAAGCTCCGCAGACAAGGGTCTGGCCTCGTGTAGGCCCTTGCCACACATGCCATGTGAACCCTCGCTGAGCATGGCCCACGCACCCCCACGGTACACACGCACATGTCTTTACTGTGCACACTCCACATACACCTCCACCTTACTGTACATATTACCCACCACATTGAGTGACTTGGTCACTGTCCCATGTCAGACTGACTGTCACGGTGTTAGTACTTACCATCAAGTGACTTTTACTGTACCTTAGTAGCAGCCCAAAGTATAAGAGTCGTGATACTGCAACTTCGTTATGTCTAACAGTTGTTCTCTGTCTCTTATTTTGTCTGATTTGCACTGAGTTTTACCATTGGTGTGTATGTACAGAAAGAGTGTGCATAGGGCTTGTTACTATCTGCAGTTTCAAGATATTAGAGGGTGAGTAAGGGTGAAGAAGATGAAGGAGACACATACCAAAGGGCTATGGCCCCTGCCACCGACATGCCACAACGCTTTCTGACATAGACCAAGACTGAATGCACACGCTTGACGTGGAGCTAAACACATCCTGGGCCCGGCCCTGCCACATCTGTTCACAACTCCAAAACCTTTTCTAGAGAAGACCTATGTTGAGAGCTGGCTGCAAAGAGGGGCTAAGCTATGTCTTGAAGCTTCTCTGCACAAAAGATTCTAGGGTAGCACTGGCTATGGAGGAACCAGCAGAGTGTCAGTCCCAAAGAGGGTCTGCCAGTGTCCCATTCTGTACCGTGACGTGATTGTCACCATGAGTCCGTCACTGCCAGCGTCCTGTTCTGTACGTGACGTGATTGTCACCATGAGTCC